CTTTCTGAGAATTGTCTGTTAGTTCAAACCCTGGTGGTATATCCATATACACTTCTTCTTCCAAATCGCCATTAAGGAATGCATTCTTTACATCTAGTTGATAAAGTGGTCAATCAAGATTAGATGTTAGTGAGAGAAGTACTCGAATAGTATTGTGCTTGGCAACTGGTGCAAACGTCTCTAGATAGTCTACACCATATGATTGAGTAGAACTTTTGGCTACCAGGCAGGCCTTAAACCGATTCACACTCTCATCTGAGTTATATTTGGTTGTAAAGACCCATTTGCACCCCACTTGATATTTTCCTGGAGATAGATTAGTTAGCTCCCATGTCTCATTCTTTTCAAGTGCCTTGATCTCATATAGGACAGCTATCTTCCATTCTGGAATTTCCAAAGCCTCATGTATTGTTCTAGACTCTGGTGAGCTGCTGTCTATCCTGCACACAAAAACATAATGTTCTGAGAACAATTTGTCCAATAAAACATAATCCTGTATAGAATGTTTGGTACATGTTCGGGTACCCTTCCTCAAAGCAATAGGAATAAAAGAATCAAGAGTTGGTACAGAGATTACATTACCTGAATCAGGAGTGGATTCATGACAGTGCTTGGATGATTCAGGTGCTTTTCATTTGTTTCTTCTCGTATAAACACGTAACTCACTCGTTGCAGGTAATGTGTTTTCTGTAACTGGTTTTGGTTCACGTTTCTTTTGTGAGGTTTTGGGTTAAGGTTCCAAAGAAGGTTTGTCCGGTGGTAGATTTTGTGGGTACAGAGGAGATACACTCACATCCCATAACTGATATTCCTGAGTGAATGTCTCCCCCCTGAATATCAATAGTGAGATAAAATGATTGTTTCTCAAAAAATGTGACGTCCATTGTATTATAAAAATGGCGGGATTCCGGAACTACACATTTGTATCCTTTTTTATTAGCAGAGTACCCAATAAAAATACACTTTATTGCTCTTGGGTCTAATTTTCCACGAAAATGTTTATGAACATGGACATATGTTGAATAACCAAAGACTTTAAGTGGCAAAGTGTTTAAGATGTATGAATCGGAAAAGGCAATTGAAATGATAGTGTAAGGTGATTGAAACTGTAAAAGACGGGAGGGCATCCGATTAATCAAATGAGCAGCTGAAAGAACAACCTCTCCCAAAGAAATTTTGGGACATGGGTGGTGAACATGAGTGATGAAATTGAGTTCGAATCATTGTATGGAATTTTTTGAACAGAAATCCCACTTCAGATTTTTCTTTCATGAGAAATACCCAGGTGATTCTTGTATAGTCATCAATAAAAGATACAAACCACCTATTTCCAGAAATGTTGGAACCCTGAAAGGGTCCCATACATCACTGTGAATACGCAATGGTGTTGAGGGTTTGTATGGAAGCTAGGAATGAACTTCGAGTATGTTTAGAAAATTGACATACTTCACACTGTAATAAAACTAGATCATTTTTTTTAAATAGTAATGGGAACATCTTTTTCAAGTACATGAAATTTGGATGTCCTACTCTATAGTGTCACAACATAATATCATGGTCATTATTTGCGGAAATAGAAACAGAGTTTGCACATATGTGAGCTTGTCTTTTAGAAGCATTGACTTGAAAAAAATATAATCCTGAACTCATCCTAACACTGTCAATCGTCCTCCCCGAGTCCAAGTCCTGAAAATTATATATATTAGAAACAAATTTTGCAGCATATTTCAAATCTTCACATAGCTTGCTGACTGATAATAAATTATAGTCCAAATTTGGAACATGGAGAACTGAACAGATAGTCAAATTTGGAGACAAATTTACAGAACCCATTCCAGCCACTTTTGAGAGAGAACCATATGCAATTCTGATTGAAAAATCTTCTTTATATCTTCTGTAATTTTGAAACATTGAGGCATCTCCACTCATATGGTCAGATGCTCCAGAGTCTACCACTCACACCTGCCCTTTTTCTGAAAAAACAGACAAACCAAGAATATTACCTTTGTGTGCCACAGAGGCACTGACCGGGTAACATTTCTTGGACAGAATACATTGGATGGCTTCCAATTGCTCAGGGATAAATGGGTCTTTTTTCACTACATCAAGGGGTATTTTCTCAGCAACAACGTGATTCCCTTGATGCTTGCTGGAGCTCTCTGCCTTCGACGTCTTCCACTCACCCGAAGATGGTTTCCAGTCGCTTGGTTTGCCATAAAGTTTCCAGGAACAATCCCGAGTGTGCCCTAGCTTCCAATAGTGATTGCACCAGGGCCTCGTCTTCTTTGTTCGACTATCAACAGTTCGGGTCGTGAATGTTGAAGCATTTTCAGTCGGGTGAGTTTGGTCAATCTCTCCCATCATGACCTTCCAACGGCTTTCCTCGCGTCGAACCTCAGAAAAAGCTTCCCGAATGCTCAGCAATGGCTTGGTGCTCAGTACGCGTCCCCAAATCTCATCGAGATTCTTGTTCAACCCTAGCAAAAATTTGAAGACTCGCTTCTCTTCAACGAAAGCTTTGGACCTTTTCGCGTCCTTGGAACAGCTCCAACGACGCTCCTCAAAGACATCCATCTGTTGCCAATTATGGGTTAGGAGATTGTAATACTGAGTGACGCTCAACTCACCTTGTCAAAGGTCATGGAGTGTCGATTCGATTTTGAAAATAACCGAGGTGTTCTTCTTGCTGGAGTAGAATTCTTGAGTTGCCTTCCAGATTTCGTGGGCAGTTTCGTAGAGAAGAAAATTCTCTCCGATTTCAGGAGTCATCGAGGTGATAAGCCAGGACATGACCATGCTATCTTCAATCTCCCAGACTTGCGCATTTGAATCGGACGCTGGAGGAGGCACGAGCTCGCTAGTTAGGTGCCCATAACGCCCTTTTCCGCGGATGAATAAGCGGACAGACGACGACTATTGAAGGTAGTTGCTACCGTTGAGTTTGTGTCCGGTAATACAGGACGATGACATCTCACTCACAGCTCTGGTGGTTGATGTGTGGTGATAGGAACCAAAGGAAACCTCTGGTGGAGAAGACGGAAGCTTACCCATGGCCATTGGAGACGTTTGCTCATCAGGGATCTCTTTTCTTTTGGATCAGGTAAGCTCTAATACCATAAAGAATTTAATGGAGGAAATAATGCTTCTGTTTATCATTTTCATTCACCAAATGTGTGTATATATACAACCTAAATTATAACAAACTCCTAACAGAATTATAGGGAGGAGGAAATAACAAAATTGGTTATTCTCCACCAACTTTGTGACTGCCTCCGTTTACAGCAGAAAACAGAAAATGTATAGCTAATATACTTATTTTAAACAAAATGAAAATAGCTGGAAAAATAAACCTAACTAATTTGAAATTTATTCCCTTATTTTCTACATAAATATAAAAAAAAAGAATACCATCTTGCTTGCCATAATAATATGGCGACAATCAATTCCAGTGTAAAGTCCTCCTAACACATGCTCTCCACGGCATCTTAAGGCCATTACAACCTGCATGTTTTTTAGAAAGATCAAATTAGAAAATAATGTTAACGGCAAACTCACATTTGAACTATCCAATCAACTTGAATAAATCTTTATGCCTACAGAAACTCCAAACTAATGTATTTTCGAGAGGCTGATATTGCTCCAAACAAACAATTGACAAACAATAGCAAAACCATACTATGTCCTTAAACTGGACGATAGTGAGACATTAGTAATCAACATGGTAAAGAAAAAAACCAGCTATCTATTTGCAGACACATACACATTTGTCTGTGTATGCAAAAACCCTAGTGCTTTGACTTTTTTCAGGAACCTCTTCATTCTACCACCAACACTATTAGTTGCACTGCAACTTTTTAGTTCTGCAAGTTTGGTCTAACTTGCAATTTTTTGTAATAGGAATTGCATACAGCACAAATGAGATTAACATTTGTCGACAAAAAGTCCAATTTTAATTCAATTCCATCTGCAATTGAAGACACGTGTTTTTATAATTCCTTCCTTGACGAGTGGGAGACAAATCCATCAATTTGAAATTGAATTTGAGTGGTGTTAGTTGATTTATGCATCAAATATGTAAATTACGACTAAACGTTATATATTAAAGAATTAAAACTTAATCTTAATATAAACAATAGAAATAGAATAAACTTATAACAAAACCAACGTAAGTACTGTCCTTGCCACCATAATAGAATAAACTTATAACAAAACCAGCATGACTACTATCCTTCCTACCATTTGAACATAGTTCACCATAACACTCATAAATAATTAACTTTCCTGTCAAAGTTTGATGTATTCTCTTCTAGTCTAACAACTAACCCATCTACATAAATGTTCTATGTCACGACCAAACATAGTTCCAAACAACATTTCAAGAAAGGACAACATTTTAAGTACAGTCCCTCTATCAACTCTATTTCCTCCATCAGCATCAGCATCAACCATGGGTCATTGACTATGTCACCTTCATATCATGTTGGTTTTTTTTTTTAAATAAAAAATATAACAGAGATGACCAAGTGTCATTCATGTAGAGATGACCAAATATATTTTTTGTCTAATGTCTTATGCTGGTCCATTCTCTTAAAAACAATTTTTTACCTATCTCACAACTTTATTCCTCCAATTACATCTCAACTAAATTCTTGCATATGATATTATTATAAAAGATCATATCATAGGGGCACCTCCCATGCGTTATCTCAAAAAAAAGAGGCACCTCCCATGCAGAGCAAGAATAAAAAGTATGTATGAATGCAAACTATAACTTCTACAATTTCTCCTTCAAATCTGTCATTGCTGCTTCAGCCTCCAAGGCTTGGCATAACCACATTGGCCACCCATCCTCTGCCATCCTTTATCATTTGTCATTTGGCTCATCATCTTTTTCTAGTCAAATGTCCAAATTTTGATTTATTGATGTTTGGTAATTATGCTTATTATATAATTTTTGTTGACCATTTACTTTAATGGACTTCACCATTTATGTTAATTATACATCTGGTTGCATCTAATGCAGTATTTCCAAAATCTAAAGCTGTTAATGAAATGTTTTTAAGAAGTCTTAGTTTGGCTCTATACTGATGATGAAGGTGAATTCGTAAAACAAAAAATGTGAGGACAATATTCAATGATTACAAAGTGTTTCTTGGTGTCCTAAGAAGACTTTAGTCCCATGGTTTTGAAGGAGCCAAATTTTCTATGACGTCCAGTCCTTTAATTTCATCAAAATGCTACCACTCAATTCACTATATACCAATTTAGAAAACTCTCATATTCAATAGTTTTCATGAATGTGTGTTTGCAAGTTTACTGAATGACCTTACACAGGCAAAGATGAGTCTCTCAAGTTAGTACAAAGCAAATAACATAGTAGCCTTATCATATTGGCCAATATGATCAGTTCAAAAAATGACCTTCTTTTTTCTTAGAGAACATAAAACTACCTTCTTTTCAGTGTAGTAGATGCAAAAGTGAAGGAACAAATCACTTGCTCGCTCATCTGGAAAAGGAAATCTCTATTACATTTCCTTAACTGTAAAAGTTATATCTAGAACATCTAGGATATAGAACAAATGGGTAATGCATCAAGCATAAGAGCAACTATAAGAATTGGGTTGGAATAGATTTAATCCTTCACTAACATAGCCAATGCTGACGCTATTGGATCATAGATTTTACAGTGCTTAGTGAAAAAAGGCCCAGTTAATTGGTGGTTCATAAAGTTCAATTAGACCTTTGAAGAACTCAGACAATTCTAAGATGCAAGGATACTTCTCTAGAAATCTCAAAAGTAATGGCAACTCTGAACAAAGCAACAGGGGACAAAAGCTCATAAACCCGTTTAATTGTCATCATAACCTAAACTACTCCCACATACTGATGAAAAAGTGGAGCAGGTGATATCAAGAAAACTTAGCATTTCATAGCTTTGATTTTCCTTCGAGGAAACCACAGTTCTTTATCACTGGCGGCAAAAGCTAACTTTCCAGCTCCCTTAGTTTGGGAAGGAGGTACTGGCTAAAAAATGTAACCAATCATTTAAAGAAGAGAATGTCTATGCTACAATATAAAATAATTATCTAAGACAAGAAAAAGTGCAGCAGGTCTGGTGTTTTACGGTTTGCTTCATTCTCCCGTACAAGGCCCCTAAATCAAAGGTTGATATCACTCATCTTAAATTTTGCACGGTTATACAGGCAACAAATATTTTTCAAGTTCAAGCATAAGGTAGACGCTCACCTCTTCCAACGAAGCATTTCCAGCTCTTTCACCAATGCCATTGATTGTCACTTCTACTTGTCTTGCCCCGGCTTGTGCTCCCTGAGTCGAGAAGAATTGATACGTAAATGCAATGTGGTTTTCAGCACGTGCATATTAAGTGAGGAAAGAAAAAAGCTACATATACCGCTATAGTATTGGCAGTTGAAAGCCCAAGATCATTTTGGCAATGTGTTGATATGATAACATTTTCGATTCCCGGAATATTAGCTTTGATATCAGCTATCAACTTCCCGAACTCAGTAGGCATCGTTATTCCAACCGTATCTGGTATGTTGAGAGTTGTTGCCCCAGCCTTAATGACCTCGCCCAAAATTTGATATAGAAACTCTGGGTCAGATCTGCTTGTGGAGGTAAACAAAAAATAAACCATCAGCTAAATATAAAAGATTAAGATTTCCAACAGGATTGACCGAAATGAAATAACCCATACAATTCTTCCAAGAAAACATTCAAAAACAACCATCAGCCATTTTTTTGAAATAAAATAGGTTAGATATGACATACCTTGATTTTAAAAATTTTTCGTCCTTCCAAAATTTCATTTCTTGTCACTTTATTGACAATTACAACAAACCAATCATATGGATAGTTTTCACCATAGCAGACTACTATGTAGATTTTTCAGAAACGAATCACAGCCATTTGTGTCCCTGGTTACACAACCTCTGAACATGAAGCAAACCATTTTGTGAAATATAAATAAATTCCATCCCCTACTACCGACCCCATTTTGCAAAGGAGAATTAAGTTCTTGTCACCGAGTCCATATTCAACTGACTGATAAAATATTAATCTCCCTTATATGTCACGCTGACCAGTATAAATTATTTAATGAAGCAGGGACGACAAAGAGAGATTTCAAGAAAACCAAAAATAAAAACAAAAACAAAACCTGCCGGCATCTTCAGGGCTAAACTCCACATCATCACAGCCCAAACTCCTGGCAAAGCTAACCATGCTCCGAGCAATCTCCAACACTTCCTCCTTGCTCTTCTTAAGCTTATACTGCATATGAATCTCGCTTGTGGCTATAAAGGTATGAATTCTGGGGCGTTTGGCGTATTTAACAGCATCCCATGCTGTTTGAATGTCATTCTGATTACACCTAGAAAGTCCACAAATAACCGGAACATAACCGCTCTCGTCAACGAAATTACCGACGACCTTCGCAATCGTCCTAACAGCCTCAAAATCTTCCTTAGAAGCGGCGGGGATCCTGCCTCGATGAAGTCTACGCCAAGCTTG